ATGTGATGGCGGCCATTGCGTTTTGTTTTTGCAGTTTTGAATTTTTTTTTGTTTTTTAATCTGTAAAAAGAAGAGATGCAGAATGGTCCGTCCGGCATATAAATCCGGCGGCGGGAACGGGCGTTCTCGGCGATTGCATTCAGACGGCAGACGACATTTTGGTGGGGCTACAAGGCCGAGCGGGACGCTGAAGCTACCCTTAGCTCCCGGAGCTCTTGGAGAACCCACTTCGTTGCCAATAATTAAACTGGAAACTGGATTCCCAGCCACTTTTTTTTTTATCTGTGAAAGGTTTTTTTGTTTGTGATGACGATAATGTGTGTGACGGGGGAAATTGTGGCTGTCTCGTTTTCAGCGTTTGTTGTTCTCAAAAAAGGAAAGCCTGACGGCTGACAGCATGAAGCAGGAAGTAGCGCTTGCGGGTTGGTTCGTACCTTACATGGTTGCCGTGTCAACCAAGTCTGGGCGTGCATCACGGTGCAACCATCGTAGCTGTAGTCGGTGGGTCAACAATTGGAACAGGAACAGCGCCAACCACCAGCCAGCTCAGCTAGTCTAGCAAGATACCGATCCTAATTCCAATTATAACCTCTCAATCCCCAATTGACTTTGGGTTTTCCAATTCTCTACACAAATTATACCAAAACACCAAAAAAGTCGCATTGCGCGCATCTCGCAACTACAATGGCGGGATCCGACGCGCCGTTCATGTACTCGGCGGTGAAAGACGACGATCGATTCCCCGCTACCACCTTTGACCCAAAGGCCGTCACCCGCGCAAGCTATGAGAGGAAGAAGGCAAAGCCAAAGAAGAACGGCCCGCTTGTCTCGGTCAACCGCCATCCAGAGTATGTGACAAATAATACTCCAACATTCCTCACATCCCGTCCTTCTTCTATAATTCAAGAAACTGACATTCGCAGCGCCCATGGACTCCCCGCCCTCAACTCCAACTTTAGAACCATGGGTCGCAAGACCAAAGCCGCAATCAAGGGCTTCCGCGTCGTCCAGCTCGTCCTCAGAATCCTCGAGCTAATCGCCGCAGCCGGCAACCTGGTCCTCTTCGTTCTCATCAACAACTTCATGGGCCCGACAGCCTGGATCCTGCGCATCACTCTCGGAGTCGTAATGATCCACTGCACATACTCAATATGGCACCTCTCCAAACCAGCCGGCAGCAGAAGCCCAGGTTCGTCCTCAGCCTACCACGGTTTTGCAGGCCTGTCGGATCTCTGCGTCGTTCCCCTATACGCGTACGGAGTATACTCAGCTCATCAGCAAGGCGAGCAATGGGGTACCATAATCCACGACGAGACAATGCTCGACTACTTCGTTCCGGCGGTTTACTACTCCCTCATCGCGGCAGGCGGTCTCCATCTCATCTCACTCGCCATCTCTGTGTGGCTGGCGGTCATGTTCCGCAAGATAACCAGACTACCACCGGACATGAACCCATTGGAGAACCACCTCACGTCCCGCGCTCACAAGAGGAACAAGTCATCACTTGCCACCGTTTCCACAGCATACACCGACTTCACCGAAACCCGCATGAGCACTCCCGCCGACAGACGTTCGGTCGCCTTCATGCACACCCGCCAAAACTCTGAAACGACCCTCTCGAACGGTTCCTCCCACCGTGATTCCCGTCTCGACTTGCCTTCCAGACAATACCAAATCCAACCAGGCAACCGCTCCTCCCTCCCACCGCCTCCCCCACCCCACTCCTCCTCGCCCAAAACTTCCCGTCCTACCTCTTTATACTCTCTCCCACTCCAAGCGCAAGTCTCCTCCGGCACCGTTTCATCCTACCGAGTCGTCGCCCCTGCCACTCCAGCATCACCAAAGGCAGAAGTCCAACCGCGGTCGGCCAAGTTCACGGAAGCTTGGTATACCTCCCCCAGTCTCGTCGCTCGCACAAGAGCCAAGTCGTACAATACCCTCCATCACAACCCAGACGGCAACTCGGACCGGGAGTCTGAGAATGAGGACCAATTCGACGACAACTACCGCACGTCACTGGGGCAGGGATCCAATTCCCATCCGAATCCCTTGGGAAGCAATCCGGCCAAGAAGGGTGCCTTCTCGAGGCTGAGGGATTCGGTGATGCAAAAAAGACAGAGTGGTGCACTGGGCGAGAGGGATATCGGCGAGGGAAGGATGAGGGACAGTTCGATTCAGCTGGATGAGGGTTTTGTGGTTACCAAGAAGTATGGAGAGTTGAAGCCCGGGACGCCGCCGATTCCTTATGGAGAAATGAGTGGCAGAGACAGGGACAGGGTGGTTAGCACGGGACACGATTTGGGCGATATGGGTTTTGCGAGCGAGGGAGGGAGGATGAGGCACGTTAGCGGGCGGCAGGCTGAGGAGGGTGTTGCGGGTGGTTGGAGATGAGTGAGTGTGAGAGACAATTGTTGTCATTTTTTTTCTTTAACGGGATGGAGTTACTGGTGATATTTTTTTCTTTTGTGTTTCTGCGTTTCTGTTTCTGTTTCTGTTTCTGTATAGTGGGATTGATTGTAGGGTATGGTGAATGGATGATGAGGTATTATGATGGGATTGGGATTGGGATTGTGACTGTAGGAATAATAAAAAATGCAGGTAGTTATATCATTAGTATTTTTTTTAAGCCGTTTATTGTTATTGGTGATGACGGGAAATACATCAATACCTGCTTTCAATTGCAATTCCTGCTGTGAATAATCATGACCAATTCGCAAAATAATGAATGTTCTTCTAGATATTTGATCATCAGCAAGTTTTGAGTGGGTGAGTGATTTGAGGTTCGTCGAAGCAGTAATAACAGGGGGGAGGGAGTGCCAAGACTTTAGTGATGGAGTCAAAAATGGGGACAAAAACATACAACACCAGGGATTCCCCAGTGGTCACCCACCTGAGTACTAGTCTAGCGATCAGCAGCTTGTCTATGGGAGAGCGGACGGGATCCCGAATTCTCTACTGTCTGTGGTCGTATGTGGTGGTCTGGAAGGGAAATGAGGTTTAAGTGAAGGGGTGAAGGAGTGAAATGGGATGGTGTTGATGCGGAAGGTGGACACCAAAGACTTACCCCGTACCCAGGTCTCATGAAGGAAGGGGTGTGAGGCCTGTCCGTGCTTTTACTTCTGTCATTATTTTGGATATTACCTTTGGTCCAACACTCCCATAGTTTCTTCCATGTGGAACGCCTTTCTTGGTGTGGTTCTTAATCGGGCTTTGGAATAAACAGGCCATACTAATGAGGCCGGCTTATTCGTATTGGAAATTCGTTATGGAAAGATCACGAAACGAACAGCAAGAAATGTTCAAGCAACAAAAATGCAACACGAAACCCTAACCTTTATCCCCTCCATCCAAAAACAAGCACCCCCAAACTCGACCCCTCCGGGACTTTCTCCCCATCCAAGAACTCAAACCTCTCGTCCACACCCTCAACCAATGCCTTCCAATCCTTCACATCCCTCTCCCTAGAATTCTGCATCTCAGTCATGCAAAGATCCAGACTCCTCAATCTTTCCTCTTGCCATTTACTTCCTAGGGCTCCCGGTTCCGGCAACACGCTATCATTGATAACAATCTTCGCCCCAGGTCTGAGTGCCGGGATGAGATTTCGCAAGATCTTGACGCCGTACTTATCACTCCAGTTATGAAAGATCCATCTGAACAGGTACACATCCGCCCCGTGTACAGGTTGGGGTTCAAAGAAATCGTGCGACATAAATTCGACTTGAGGGAATGCCGGGTTGGGTGAGGCGGCGGAAATGGCCGAGCGTAGATCCTGGACGATGAAGTTGAGGCGAGGGAATTGTTGAGCAAGAGCGTAGCAGACGTGTCCTTGCGAGCCACCTACGTCTACCACTGTGCTGTTTGGTCGGAGGTCTCCCCAGGGAAAATTGTTGACTAGGTGGGAAAGCTCGAACCCCGGATCGGAAGTGAATGCCTTCATTGCGTTCGCGAAGCGCGCTGCTCGAAGGGGAGATTGGGCCAAGACAGCGAATATTGATGAAGTTGTGTTGTTTGCGAGGGCAAATCCCTTTTTTATTTGTCAGTAATATGTATAGATAGACGTGGGGGGGATGGGAAAATATCTATGTACAGTCTCATTTGGCTCTTCTGATCCAGGGAACTTCTCCAATGCTTCGCAGGCGTGTGCTGCGCCCGGCCAGCCATCATTTGTGGATGAACCGACCCAGTCGTGGATGACTTGGTCTTCAGCTAGCAGACGGGATACAGCATTGTGAGCTATAACACCTGGACGAGGCTCGATGAAAATGTCTTTGATGACTGCATGACGGATGAGCTTGCGGACATTTATCTCTGACAATCCGGTGGTAGCAGAGATTTCAGCAAAGGTAGTTTCACTGCCGATAGGAAACGAATGCGCAATCTTGAAGCGGGTGATGGCTTGTTGGCTTATGAGCTCGTTGTGCGTGTGGCTCATCAGGTAGTCGCGAGGTCCGAGGATGAGACGACGAAGCTCTTGGGCGTCTTCTATGATGGCTGTGCGGGCTGCTTCTATCTCCTTTTCTGATTTGGGGATTGATGAGTCTAGAGGTGCATTAATGTCAAATGAAGGGGAGGGAAGGTTGTGGGTTGTGAGGTAGGTGTCGAGTTTGGTTGTATTGGTTGAGATTCTGGTTGCTAGTTCTACGATTCGGGAGGTAGACGAATCATGGTGAGCTCTTTGGTGCATATGAATACCTTTTAAGGTGGATGTATGCCCTTGAATTGAGGAATGAGTTGAGAGATGTGCAAAAAAAGGCAACATTGGTCTCCTCTCGGTGTAATTCGGCCGCGAAAGGTCCAAATTGCCAAAAGGACATCACCGAATTCGTTTTCAGCTCCTTATGCCGAGAATATTGGTTCAGGAGCTTTACTCTGACCAACCGAACCACGAAGCTTATCCAATCAGAGCCCAGTAGAGGTCTTTCCCCTCAAACCAAACAAGTTCCATGCATGGACGATAAGTGTGTTTTTGAAGAGAAGGAGCAAAAAGAAGAAAAACTTGGAGGTAGCAGGATTCAAACCTGCGTCTTTTCTTCCCCTGGTTGCTCGTGCCTATGTACATACATTGTTGTGGTTCAGTGCCCATGGGTTTGGACATCAATAGGGAAGAACGCCTTAGACCACTAGACCACACCCCCTTTGGATGAATTGCTAAAGGGTGCTACTCAAATTCGTTTCTTGAAGGACCGTCAGCTGGAAGGTTGGGGGTCAGCTTGGTTATGTGGTAGGAGAGGACAGAGAAGGGAAAGGAGCTGGGGTCGGGACTTGGAAAAACTCGGGTACATACATGGAATGGCGCGGTAGCCGAAACTCCAGAAAATCGACATGTGGAATTCGGATATCATCTTGAATCATTCCCTTCGGCTCAGAATTGCAGGACTGAAACCAAAGACATAATGAGACGAGAGAACCAAACTGGGCATGCAACTTGACTTCGTTTTCGAATATTCCAGCGAATGAAAGGAGCACTAGAAATCCATGAAAGATACTTGAAAAGCAAAATCTCCCAGACAGAAAAACAACATGCATGCAGATGTTGGAAGATTGTTCACTCAACTCATCACCCCAACAACGGGTTTACTCGTTCGCTATCCAAACAGTCCCTGCCACAGCAAACACAGCATCAAAAGCCAAAAACAAAACAAAACAAAGCCCCAACTCGGAAAGCTAGGTAGATTGAGAAAATTATCCATAGCTTTAGTTCCAGACAAGCAGAGACTGAGTAAGAGAAAGCACCGCAATCAGAATATTTTGTTCTTGCAGCTAAATCCATCCCGCCGACTTGAGTTTTCCATGAATTCCTTTTGCTTGCTGCACCGTGGTTTTTTTTCTCCATCTCAGGTCTGGTAAGTAGGACGAGCGAGAGGGAGGGAGGCTGCGGTGATGATGTCCATTGTTCAGGTGTTCTATCCGGTGCGGCAATGAGGGAATGAGAAAGGAGCTGGTGTTGTCGCTTGTGAAAAAAAAAAAGGAAAATCCGATAAGTTTCCGACTCTGGCATTATCAGAACAAAACGATTTTTCATTTCTCCCTCCAAGGATATTTCGAATGACGGAGGATGGATATGCTGGCGAGCACAGAGGTTTTGAACATTGGGGAGCGAAGTCGGGGAGGTGAAGGTCGAGAGATGAATGCATGCTGAGAAAGATGGGTGCACAGATAATAATCATAAGATGGCAGTAGGGAGTGGAGAGCTGAGATGATTATATCGTGAAGAGAAGAGTTATGACGAGCGAGCCGTAAAGCTTGAGGTCAATGGGGTAGCAGTTCAGGATTTAAGTTGGGAATGGAGAGTTGGGAATGGAGAGTTGGGAATGGAGAGTTGGGAATGGAGAGTTGGGAATGGAGAGTTGGGAATGGAGAGTTGGGAATGGA